GAGGGGGCTGTGCCAGGGGGGTGGGACGCGTCTGTGGCTGCGGAGACTGTGCTGGGTCAAGGGCCCTTCCCTTTGCTGCAGTGCCAGCACCTGCAGGATCCTCCTGGGGATCATGGGATCCTCCTGGGGATCACAGGCACCTGGGGATCACAGGATCCTCCTGGGAATCACAGGCTCTGGGTGTCCTCATCTGGCACACCACAGTCACCCAACATCCCTGTCCCTACCTGCAGGACAACTGCCGGCTCGTCCCCAACAAGGACCAGCAGAACTCGGACACCGACTCCTTCGGGGACGCCTGTGACAACTGCCCCAATGTCCCCAATAATGACCAGCGGGACACGGACAGCAACGGCGAGGGGGATGCGTGTGATAACGACAACGATGGTGACGGTGAGCTGCTCTCGGGGCTGGGGACACCTGCGGGACTGGGGACGCTGGCAAGAATGGGGGGTGAGGGCATTCACCCCACGCTGTCCTTGCAGGGATCCCCAACATGCTGGACAACTGCCCCAAGGTCCCCAACCCCCTGCAGACGGACCGGGATGAGGACGGCGTCGGGGACGCCTGTGACAGCTGCCCTGAAATGAGCAACCCCACTCAGGTATAGCTGGGGTGGGGACCCTGCCCGGGGCGGGTGGGGGGTCCGCCCGCAGCAGGGCTGCGCCCTGGGGTCTCCGCTGAACTCGGACTCTGGTCTCCTCCAGACAGATATGGACAGCGACCTGGTAGGAGACATCTGTGACACCAACGAGGACAGGTGGGGACTGTGCTGCTGTGGGGCCACTTCCCTGTCCCATCCCCAGGGGCAGAGCTGGGTTCACAGCTCGGGGGTCTGGGAGGAGAGGGACGATGGGGTTTTTGGGGTTGGTGACACGGTGCTGGGTCCCCCATTTACGGCGCTGCTCTGACCCCGTTCTTGCTGCCAGCGATGGGGACGGGCACCAGGACACTAAGGACAACTGCGCCGAGATCCCCAACAGCTCCCAGCTGGACTCAGACAACGACGGCCTGGGGGACGACTGTGACAACGACGACGACAACGACGGCATCCCTGACTACGTGGCGCCTGGCCCGGACAACTGCCGCCTCATCCCCAACCCCAACCAGAAGGACTCGGATGGTGGGCGCAGGGCGGGCGAGGGGACACAGAGTCCCCTGGGGTGGCCCGGCCCTGACCGGGGGGCGGGGCCTGGCCGGGGTGCGTGTCCCCAGGGGATGGCGTTGGTGACGCATGTGAGGAGGACTTCGACAACGACACGGTGGCCGACCAGCTGGACGTGTGTCCCGAGAGCGCCGAGGTGACACTGACCGATTTCCGCGCCTACCAGACCGTCATCCTGGACCCTGAGGGGGACGCCCAGATCGACCCCAATTGGGTCGTCCTCAACCAGGTGTGGGTGCTGCCCCCCGCATCTCTGGGGGCTGCACTGCCAGGGTGGGAGCAGGGGGTCCCTGTGGGTGCTGGGGATGCCCCTCACCCCATGTCCACCCCCAGGGCATGGAGATTGTGCAGACCATGAACAGTGACCCAGGCTTGGCTGTTGGTAAGAGACGCTCTCTCATCCATGGAGCAGCCCCCCTACCCCATCCCCTGTGCTGGGGGGCTCTTTGCCGAGGGGGGAGCAGGGGATGTGGGGAGAGGGTTCCCTGCAACATTTGCCCACCCGCAGGATACACGGCCTTCAACGGGGTGGACTTTGAGGGCACCTTCCACGTCAACACCATCACCGACGACGACTACGCC